TTAAGTTCATTTAGGTTAGGGTTAGGGTCCGCGCTAAGGTTAGGGTTTGAGGGTTTTTAATAGCAAAATCATTCCGGAAAAACTTTTTGTTAATGCACAGAAGGTGATTTCTTATGCAAATTTTTGAGAAATAACCGTTTCTTGGTTTTTTTTTGCAAAACGAACGTTTATTTTGAATCTTCCTGATCGTGTTACGTTACACCAAATCACAATTAATTATTGGTTAATTTGCTGTCGATCGTCACGTGATAGTAGAATTTTGGTGGCGATACTGGGGTAGTTGTCATAAATGTATTGAATTTAGGTCGACGTGTAATAATTTATCAGTTTTAACTTACGTACCTGTTATATTTTTTCATGTAATAAATAAATACGTGACATTTATGTACCTTCACTACGTAAAGAAAAATCTAAAGTTAACCTGGCTTATGCATAATTTGTTTGTATGTAAACGGGCCACAACCACAAAGTGCCACTAATCACAGATTCGTATAATAAAAATAATTAGCCATGTATATGTTTTTTTTCTGTTAATATAACAATGAAAAATCAGAATAACGCATTAACAAATAAAAAAAGACAAAATTACATCGAAAAGTGGCATATTCCCTGTCCACTCGCAAGTCTCGTGTCCAGATTATTATAGTTAACTATTTTTTCTGATATATAATTTATTGAGCCGGCAATGAACGAAGTGAATTGGCGGGGAGGGTGGAATCATGGATGTAAGGTCTGTGATGGATGCAATCATCATTCACACCTATATTGTAAAACGTGTAAAAAAGTAGTGGATGGGATACATAGGCGATGTGAATGTGAAAATTCTCGAATAATTAACGTTAAATAAAAATAAATCAGAATTAACGATTTGGTCGCTATACATAATTTTCTGTTTTTCCATGTAACGGTAACATTAAACATGCATGTAAAATTATCGCATAACTTATTTGTGAGACAGATCACATTTTTCTGAAATAAACACCCTAACTCAAATTCGGTCAATCATTTCCTGACACATATATTCCTGATTTCGCTCTGTGAGAAACCGGACCGAACCTAATCTGGCCTAGTGTTCCAAATCGTTAGTTGAAAAACCAACTAGTTGCCAACTTTCCAACTAGTTGATTTGAAAAAATTTTAAACAACTAATCGATTAATCATTCAACTAGTACAATTCCGAGAAATTCTGTCTGGTCGGGCAGATCCGTATTAATTCCTTTTGTTTAATTGGCTAATCATCTGATAATGCCATATGATGTGAACAATCGATTAGTTGCAACTATAGTTGGCAACTAATCGATTGGTAAAATATTTACCAACTCGGAACACTAATCTGGCCTAAATGCATAATATGTTTTTTAAGTCTTATGTTTAGAGATCGTGCAATTTTAACTTTATATAGTGGACTATTTGCAAGACAGAAAGATTTCGGGTCTAGATGATTCACACTCTGTTATTTATCTTCTGTTTTTTATCATCGATAAAAATTTCAACTTCCATCAATAAATTCCTTACAATGTTTGTGATCATATATGCAGGGACACAATTGTAAAGCTAACATGGTATATAAAATAGATGATTGGATAGATAATATAAAGTAGTGAGAAGGAACTGCCTTCTGTAGTTTTATACTTATTTGATTATGTATTTTCAATAATATACACCATCAGGCCTATATAATTCTATTGAATGCATTATGTAAAAACACACAAGATATGTTTATTCTGTAACATACTATAACATAGAATAAATTCACAAGCTCATATATCTCGCAAATTTTCTGGAATCCTCAAAACGTTACGAACACTCTTGCCTTTACAAGGTATGAGAATACGATCAATTTTAGCTTTTTGCTGGACTACTTCGTCCTATGCCAACAAAAAAAAGAAATGTCAGGAAATAGAAATAATTATGAAATATATCTACACTATTCACTTACATGAAAAATGGCCATCATCCGCATAACTGCCATATACTTTGACCGTGAATCAAAATCAAATGGCAATTCCGCTGATGCTAACTCATACGCAACAAATTGGCCATCTTCCCAGCATGCTAAGGGCATACAATGTTAGCCGATATGCTAAAAAATGATAAATGGTAAAAAGAAAGTATGAATATAATTATCATTTGATCTTATATAAAGCAAAGCAACAAAAACCTTACCAATAACCTGCATGCTAAAAACTTTAATTTTTTTTGCTATATTTACATCTAGGTCAAGGTGGTTTCTCAAGATGTCTACCAAATTCAATATGTCAGTGTGTAGCGTCTTTTTGGTATCGTAAACAGTATGACGAGTTGTAGGATTACTTGGTGGTCCCGAGACTTCCATATGCCAGATTTCTTTGCCATCGCTGACACGAAACCCTTTCAATATTTGTATTAAAAATTAGTTACAATAATACTCACGGCTACTAAGCTTAACATATACCCTTTACATCCACCAGTACGATTCCGGAATCAGTTGGTGTTTTTACTATCTTTGCTGATCGCACATGTGTTTCAATCCAATCGAATTCTAAGGTTCCGAAAGTGGATTCGTAAAACATGAACAATGGGGAAATATGATATATAGTGAATTTTCGCTCTTTGATCGTTCTCGAAAGCGTTGGGAAAACATCAACTAAATTAAAACTTTTAAAGAATATCAAAATAAATTCATTGTGTAAATTTTTTATATATTCAATAACAGTTTAATACTTACAATTCCATTAACACCTTTTCACAATATAATCTAAACTTATTCACGTTTTCTTCCTCTCCTTCTATTTCTTCTTGGATCGCTAACTTGAATTTTTTTCCCGTTTTCTGTAGATACAGTCACACCCCTCTAAGTGCATCCCGTCGGGACCATAGT